ATTTAAATATTAATATTTAATAAGATAAAATTTTTATTTTAGATATAAATTAAAATTCTAATTATTTTTGAAACTCGAAACTAATACGTGCTAATCTTATTTATAATTATATAAAAATAATTATATATCCGATCTTACCTATATGTAGGAATACGCAAGCATAGGCTTCAATCTTGTTTGAGCGATAACAATGAGATTTTCCTATATATCATACTAAGAATAGCAAGCTAGGATTTCCAAAAGAAGATGCTCTATTATCAATTCATTTGCTTTGAAAAAAAAAAAATAAATAAAGAGTTTAGGATTTAAGATTTGTGTTTTTTTAATAATAAATATTCTCTTAATTTTTGTAACAAAAGTTGGAACATCAATCCCTTATATTCCTTTCAAATAAGAGTTAGGATCAAGTACAAGTCTAGCAATATATATAAGAATAAGAAAGTATTATGCACACTTGTAAATTTTAATATATTAGTCTATGCTTTAAAAAAATTAATATTAAATTTACTATTCTATTCTTGTAAATTATGCACTTAAATTATTTGATTTGAGTAAGGAAAAGAGTGTTGTTAAAAAAAATTAATTTTAAGATTTTAGTAATTTTTAAATTCATTCAGTTATTAAAAAATTAAAAATAATTTTTAATTTGGACTATAAAATAAAATGCAGTCCAAATTATAAAATTGCTAAAGTATTACTCCTACATTCTTAATGAATTTTTTTGTTAATGTTAATTCATTGAAAATATTGTTAAACGGTCTATTCCCCTCAGAAAACGCGCAGGAATATTGGGAGAGAAGGTAAAAGTAAGACTTGAACGGTTGGGGGTGCATCATGCGGTGTGGGCCGGAGCTAAGAGAGCAATGGCATTATTCGATGCTCCGATCGATCTGACTAATTAACGGCATGATGAATGTTGGCTGTTTATCTATTCACATGAGGGATTGCAGAAAATTGGAACATATTGATAATTAACTTGTTAAAATTTACTTTAAAATTATTTAAATATTTTTAATAAGTTAATATATAAGAATGATTCACGATTTTTTAATTTTTACTTTCCTCGTCACCCAATCCTTTAAAAAAAAAAAAAAGAGAAAAAAATGAAGGATTGGATGTAAAATAAGTATCTGTTTGTAAGTCATCAAATTTAAGGGTGAAGTGATCCAACATTTACGAAAATTTATTTTGTACGAAGCTAATGACAGTCTAAGAATGCATTTTTAAAATCAATCAAGGGGAAATTAATTTCACGTATATGTATCCTGGTTTGAAAATACCTCATTGTTGAGTCCAAAATACCAATGTTTTATATTTCCCCAAAAAACCCAAATCATGTTGTTATGCAGGGAAAATAATGAAATTAAACTGGATTCCTATATTCATGTTAGTGATGTAATCAACACGTAACAAGGGAAAATAAATATGAAATGCATGATTCATGTGTTATCTAAACTTTTGTTGACAATCATGTGTTTGCTAAACTAAAATATACATGCAATTGTTTGAATATTTTGACTTTTTTTTTTTTCTTAACACAATATATTATTAACCTTATATATATACTTATTCTGAATTCTTAATATATTATTAATAGTAGCACCCACTCATATTATTAACAACTATACACTCAATCATGTATCAGACTTAGGAATATCTGATAATCATAAAATCATCATATACACAGATAAAAAGTTCTTGTCTTTTTGAAGAGTTTATGTAATCAATCAATAATAATATATTAGAAAGCAAAAAATCTCAAATCCACATTCTAGGATTTTGCATCGTTTGTCAATGATTCTCTCATTGATACCCAGAAAAGACATATATCTGATTTAAAATTAATTAATGATAAATAAATTATTCATATATATTATTTATATTTAAATTTATAAGGTTTTTCTTTTAATTAGCGATGTGAAAATTTTTCCTTGACATAGCCTCTCACCATGGTAAATCTCTTCCCATTTTAAGGGCAAACTTGCATGTTGGCTTGGTGCATTTAAGAGCTTATTTTGTAGTTTTTTTTTTTTTTTTTTTGGAAATTATTCTGTAGCCATTTCTCTAATTATTCTTGCTGTTGAAAATTTACCCTTAATTTAATATTAAACAGCTTTATTGAGTGGTATACATTTCATTAATAAAGCATTAATTAGTGGATTCCCCTTTTGAAATTATTGATGAAGATAAAATATTGGCTTCTCATAATCTATCAAGCTGGTAGGATGACAACACTTGGAAAGGCAAAATGCAACAAAAAGGAAAATAATAGAATATATGTTTGTTTTAATTTTTTTTTCGGGGGGGGGGAGGGGGGTTGGGGGGTTTAAACATGGAGATTCATTAAGTGTCTGTTTGATATCGTTTTTTGTTACCGTTTAAAAAAATTTTTAAATCTACCCTATCACTCAAAACCTGTTGGTTTTGTTGATTTTTAAAAACTAGCAACCCACTAATTAAACGGATTGTGAGTGTTATATTACTTTCTCCATTTTAAAACAGAAACTAAAACTAAAAATGAACAATGAAAAATGAACGGGTTGCACAATGAACAATGACACTTATTAAACAGACTCTAATTAAGTGACTTAGTCAATTTGATAAATGAAATAACAGTGCTAATTATTTTTTTTGATAAGAAATGGAGAAATATATTGAATAATAAGAGAAGTACATTAAAAACTCCATCACATGGCATATAGCCTAACGCATGAAAGCTTAAAAAGCATAATCAGAAGCATAACCTACAGCCTAGTAACAGATTTAAACTATGCCCATGACAAATATAGACAATTAAGTAAAGAGAGCCATCTGCAACTAGAGATTGCAATTGCAATCGCTGTATGGGTTAAAAAGAGCTACTAATGTAGAAAGGAAGGTCCCTATGAGCATCGAAAGCTACTGAACATCCTCACCTAATTAACCAGCTTCTCGGGGAGAGAAGGGATTTTGGCAACAAACAGTCCCCAAACTATAGGTTGCCATCCAAGCTATTCTTAAAAAAGAATAAACAAGAGGAGGGGTATGGTCCTCCTCAGTGCAGTCTCCAGGTACCCTATTCGACTGCAGGTGTACCCAAACATGTGCCCATCTGTTCCAGTCCTCAACAATCCTTGGCTATCATCGGTTAATAAGGGATCTAGAGCCCCTTTACCAGCATGAGGGCCATACTGCCCTTGCAGAACACCAGCAGGATCCTTCACGGCATGGAAATTTGACCTTCCACACCAAAACCCATTTACATCCCCCTGCGTAGAACCCAACCGGAAGAAGAGAATGCCCCTCTCCTTTTCCGATTTGCTCAAGGTAACATTGATGGCGCCTAAATGCAGCCAAAGCAGAGGGGAATCCATCTCAGGTTGATCAGAAAGCGTTGTTAATGGCCATTGACATCCACCCGGATCTACTATTACGACATCAATGTGAGATGGCGTCTCACGGCAACACTGTTCACAGGACAGCAAAGCCCACCCTAGATCTAAAAATGGCGAGAAAGAGGAACTTTGAAAGGCAGACCCATCCTTCCAGAACAGAATCAAGCCACCCCTTCTCTCTGCACAATTGCACGCGAAACAGTGAGCCATCCCTAGATCTATTTGGAACAAAATCGTCTCCATCCCAGATCGCTGTGTTGCAGGGAGCGAAGCGGGGTTCGGCATTTGTTGGAGGCTCGATTGATTGGACTCAAAAATCAAATAAACCTCTTCGAGATTGCAATAAGTCCAAGGCAACATAAGCAGATGAGCCATGGGAAGAACAAAAAGAGAAGCGGGGGGAGAAGCCCTGCAGGAAACCAGGGAGAGGCGCCTAGGCGAGGGGCTCGACCGTCGCGAGGAAACCCTAGCAACGGCGAGAGAGAAAAATTTTCTGCTGCGGAGGAAACGTATTTTTTTTTCTCTCGCTAACAGTGCTAATTATTGAATTACCAAGGTGGGTCCAAATCAAAATGGGGTTGGGACTTTAGCGTTGGAATGTTGTGTTCGACTTTGTTTTAATTTTATAGGAGTACTTTTCTTTCTCTCTCTTTTTTTTTTTCGAGGCTTAGGGTTTATTAAATGTAATCATGGACACGTGAACTCATGTGAAGAGGGGGCCTCCATGTTGGCTAGGATATCGATCCTTTTGTTTTTAAGTGTTGATGCAAAGTTAAGCGTATTAATTGCAATGTGTATATATATATATTTACCATTTGAGTGTCCTGAAATAAGTTTGTGATTTTATAAGTATGTAAACGCTCAAAAAAATGAAAATATAGAAAATAGTGTAAATCAATCTTGACATCTCTATTAAAAAAATTAAAATCCCCATACAACAATGAATATTTTCAAAAATTAACTATTAAATTTAATTTTTTATTAATGTAGATTATGCATGTTTTTTTCTTTTGAACGGTAAAAAGTAATATTTATTAAAAAAAATAGAGTACAAGGGGTACCCCAAATTGATTATGCATGTTAATTTTCAAATTGATTAAATATACGTAATTAGTTCATTGATTATAGAAAATTTACCATCATCAAATATATATTAGAAAACACAAGTTTCTTGATCAAATAATTATAAATGTTAAATTAACTTGAAAATTGATGTGTATTATCTATATCAATAGAATATTAAAGAGAAATAATTGATACACAATTGAATTCAATACACTTTCTACCTCTTATGTTTGTTTGATTATTAAAATATAATCTAAATACATCCGATTCAACTAGTTCTTGCATGTATGCATTATTGTATTTTTAAATTTATCTGTTTTTAATTTTAAATTAAAAAATAATAATTTTTTAATGAATATGTTGTATAATATGTTAATCAAATTGTACAACAATTAATGTCCGAACATTAAATTTAACAATTAATTTTTGAAAATATTTATTAAATAATAGTGTTTTTGAGATTTTAATTTCTTATAAGAGTCCAAACTTATATGTATTATTCTCAAAAAGATATATTATTTATAAATTTTTAATCTATAAATTTTATTTTAAAAAATAGTAATTATATCGAGTCGACAAAGGGAGTAAACATATCGCTAAGGACAATACATCAAGGACTCTTATTTTAAAACTTAATTTTATTGATTTATGTGTCTTTTTACCTGTTTATCCATCTCTGGTCCAATAGGTAAATCCAGTTCTGAACTTCAAACTTTATATATATATATATATATATATATATATATATGTAAGGCAGAAAGAGGTATAAAACTTCATTTTGTGACCTCAATTAATTTTTTAAAGATCCATATGAATTGAGAAAATTAGTTTTGTACTCTTTAGAAAGCATACACTTAATTAATTGCAGTAAAGGGCTATCATACATGGTTTGATTTTAGGGTTCTATTTATAACCAAAAGTATCCTAGAAGGAAAATTTTTAAAGAAAGAATGTCCAATCCCGCATCAATCTTTCAGTGATTATTTAAGTTTTTTTTTTTGGTCGGCATTCAGTGATTATTTCACTGAATCAAACCAAATCAAGTAGTACTATACATATATAATCGATTCACATAGATTTTTTTTTTTTTCAATGAGATCTGATTATAATACACATCTATTATTGTACTAATTTATATGTTAATTAAAAGGACTAATTATAGTTACAGTCATTTAATACAGTAAAATTTCATTGTGATAGTATTATAATTATAATGTTGTATAAATTTATAAATTTATAATTATAATGTGTTATTAAAATAATAAAATATAATATTATAAAAAATTTTAAATAAAAAATTAATTATATATTATATTATAAATTTATAATTTTAAGTGATATTATAATTATAATATTTTTTAATTATATATTTCTTGAAACTCTTTTTATTTATTATTTTTCTCTTTTAGACTTTGGAGCAAGAGTCACCTCTCAGAATATTTTTCTCCTTGGGAAGATCACTGTTAAGCTAAAAGTAACTAATTAAATGCATCTTGGATTTCCTCAAAATTAAGATGAGAGGCAGTGCTAGGAGCCATACTGGAAATATGGAAGAACCTGCTTTGTGCAGATCAGACATGTGGGGCTAATCAACTGCCATAGCACACAACCATATAGTATGCATTTTACTTCATTGAAAAAGGAAATAAAAAAAAAGAGAAGAGAATGTCTTTCAAAACCTTTTGAAATGGGTTAAGGTTTATATATATACATATATATATATATCGGTAGAACGAGGTTTACAATCTTACTTGCATATATACGCACATAGTCTACTTAATAATCATTGATTTTGAGCTCCTCTGTTTTGCAAGTTTAGTTTTATTGAAATGATATGTAAATTTATGAGATAAATGCATATTAGTCTCAATTCTAAAAAATTTATTATTTTAATAGATATTTAAAAATTAAAATTTTAATTTGAAGTTTAAAATTTTAATAAGTTTTTAAATTTAAATATTAATATTTAATAAGATAAATTTTTAAATTTTTAATTAAATTTTAATTAAATAAATGATATAGTTTAAATTTAGCATTTTGATTTTTTTGAGAATTAAGACTTATATGCATTTTTTTCTAAATTTATTTTCTTTTGATAAAACTTTTTATATAATTTATCTTTCTCTAGAGGGAAAGCTTCCAGATTTTTTTTAATATTTTATTTATTTTTATTTATATTATATTCAATAACAACATGTTTTTTTAAACTAAAGTTACATATAAACTATAAACTACTCAAACTTAAATGTTAATTTAATTAAAATACTAAAAACAACAATTGTTTTATAGGGAAGATGGAAAAAGAAAGGGGAAGAGAGAAGCTGCCCTATCTTTATTGAA